GCATAATGGTCACTTCGTTTTGTAATTGATGACTCGCGATGCATCGATCCAAGAGTCAAAACTGAAAAGATATCCTTTCCAATGTACTTTGACTTCTTTGGCACGAAGTTTTCCCATTTTTCGGATTCTCCGATCCAGAATACTTTTGATATCGTGCACTTTGACTTCTTTTGTTTGGTTACGCGTTGTATGTCTGGTAAGTACAACTCCTTTTAGCACGTGCCCGTTCATGTATTCAAATTTATGGCCTACAGGTAGATGTCCAAGCACTCGTCCTGTAACACGAAAGAATTCAGCGGTCCAGTTGAGTAAGTAACCTTTATCAAAAGTGAGTTTAGTTTTGCCACTGCACACCCAATCTCACCTCGTCAACACTTCACTTTTCCTGGGAGATCCACAGTCGTGCAAGTACCAAAAAGGCGTTCAAAGACGGTCACTTCGTTGTCGGGAGTCAAGTCTTGGGTCACATTCGATGCTTCGATGGTAAGATTGGCAGTATGCTTGGACCAGGTGCGGTAAGACGTCGATGAATTTGAAACTGTTTGGACGTGTAAGATATTTCCACATGCGTTTTTCCAAGGTGCGTTGAAAACGTTCCACGGTGCTGGTTTTGTTTCAATACCATTTTAATACTTCGTACAAAGTAAGCGCTCGATTCGAAAGTCAATGGCACGAATCAGGCAAATTCGGAAAAGATGCCGATGCCACAAAATTTTTTTTACAGCCACAATTGTTGGCAGCCAAATGAGATACATCGGCTAAATCGATTTGTCATTAATGATCGATGCGATCCACTCGGGAGCGAATTCTAGAAACTTTTCGACTAGTGGGTTTGTGTAAAGTGTACGTGGCTTCTTCTTGTAACCATTGTTGCATTTGACGTAAACATACACTTTACAATACAATACAATTATGAACTCCTCCGTAACCCGTAAGATGGATGGATCAGAGCAAGTCCTATCACATTCTCCATTCGGACTTTTTAATATGTCATTTACTCTTCACTGACGCAACTGGATGTGGTGAGATGTTGGTTTGGAAATAGATTTACGTGACTGATGTGACATGGGATTGGAACTCGAGGGTACTGGTAGTGGTTTTGGAGTGGATATAATCTTTTTTATCGCAAGATGAACTATCTTCTCGTTGGGGTGTGGGGAAAGTGTCCAGAAAGGACGTTGAATTTTTTTGTACAGATAGGAGTTGGTCACGGTGTTTTAAAGACTTCTTGTGTCTCTTCCTCCGCACTCTTCCGTTTGGCTGGGTATGTTTTGGTCACTGGGCTAGTGGTGGTGGTGGTAGTAGCAATGACTTGGCACACCCCACATTTATCTTATGATTAGGATTGTTCAAATGGTGTGTGTAACCTATCGTTTTGACAACCTCTTTGGAATCTCGCTATGTCTAAAATGTGCCATTAGTTATTCCTCTATCACCAAACAATCATCCCCTTTGTTTACTCTTCTTCTTTGGACGAAGTTGTCTTTTCAGGTGTAGACGTAGATGTTTCTCGAATGACAAGAATGTCCTTTTATGTTTCCTTTTTCTTTAATTTTTGGATACAAGAACTACGTTTATGGTGGTGTACACTTATTTTAAGGACATCTTTTGTCGTTTAGGACAACAAATCACTGATAGAGTTCGTTTACCAAAGGACTATATATTCCAATGCTTCGCCACTGATTGTCTTTACGTTGTATCATCTTGATGACAGGCGTCGTGGAGGGGTTTTCAACTGGCTAATTCAGAAGAGTACTTGCTTGGTTAAATCCAGTAACCATTGTAATATGCTTAGTCTCTCTGGGACTTTGATTTTGGGGCAGGTACTTCGTAAGCATCTGCATCTAAAGAAGTGTAGGGTGTTACAACAGGAATCGACGTACTTTTAAACACGGGTTTCCATTGTTTCATTAAATTAGGAAGAAAGTGAAACTAATTGAGCTTGGCTAGCATCATCAACAACCAAGAAGTGGAAGAAACTGAAGCTATTTGAGACGCAAGACACATTCGCTGGAGATCATGGTTTAGGAATGTAGGGTTGCACCCTGGCGAAAGTTCAGCAGATGGGAGTAGAAGCTGTTTTATGGGGGCTTTTATTTTCCTTTTATGGGGACTTTTCCTTTTATTTTTTTGATGCTATGACCTCGTCTTGACACCACTACTCACTGGTAAATTTCATCGATAGCATATATATCAAAACGATGAAATTACATTTTGGTGACAAATGTTTGGTGTAGTATGGACAGTTTATAATATTCTTAGAGTTTCTATACTTATCACAGTCACACAAGTGTCCTCCAGGAATATTCTTTCGGGAATGTCCAGGTTAATGACGGTCATGTACTGACTGGAGTGGTTTTAAACGGTGTTGGATTATTCTGGCACTGCAGTTAGCAAGTGAAAAAGTAATTTTTTCACCAGACACATTAAGGTCACATTTTCCTTTCAATTAATAACATAAATCTTGGACAATGGAAGCAACTTCTTTTGTTGAAGACTCGATACCCAAACGTTTCCAGTCAAATACATCTTTCCACTGCGACCATCGAGCATGTTATCGATCAGCGAAATCTTTCTGCTCCCACTGATGAAATGAGAGACCAAAAAAAATAAGCATTGGACTTTATCGTATTTGTTACAAGTGCATGGCCATTCTTTCTTGGAAGGTTTGGATCGACTTTCACAGTCAGAGTATTCACGCAATCGCACAAGGAGCACGTATTTTTTTCTTTCACGGTTTAATTTTGATCAGGGTAAGGTGAAATTGGCAGTAGATGGATTAAAGCTGGATGACATCCGTTTGTTGGTAGATGCATGGATTCAAGTAAAGAATGACATCGACAATAAAAGCCAATAAAATGAAAAATTACGAATAACGAGTGGCATCACTTTCGCATCCGTAATGTCTGAAAGTGACAGCATCACTTTCTATGATAGATACGGTTGTATTAGTGGTAGAATTAGCAAAGTTCCCATAATGGAGTTCCGAATCGCTGGGGTTACAGCGTACGGCATCCCTACCATCGCAATGCATAGCATCGTACTCCACTTGAACATCACTGAGCTTGAATGGTGCTTGTTAGAAGGATTCATCTTTCGCGGTTGGTGTTTATAGTCACAATAAACTATTGGGCACGGACGTTTTCTCTTTTTGTATGCTAACCATTAACGAAGTGGCGTTACAGTAAAATGAAGTGGTTGAGATGTCGAACGTGCTTCTGGTACACGATGTGATATATTTGTCATAATGTCGACTGAAGATATGATGCGTGAAATTGGTAGGTGGTCACTTTTAAATCTTGATTATCTTCAGACTGCAAGGCTTCCTTTAAGACCCAAAAGTTCACTACTTGACTGGTGCGATAATTGAGTGTCAATCTTGTCATTTTGCATTCGGTGTGCATTTCTCCTTTTTAGTCCCGGTATTAGTAGCTGTAATATTTAGGACCCCCACTAACAAATCTTGTCGCTGAGGTGCTCGTTAGTTCATGCTCCTCAACTGCTTTCATTGATGTCAGGATGCCGATGACAAGGTGGTCAATTTAGATTCAACTCTCCGTGTCATATGATCTTATAACCATTGAAGAGCTTCATACAGTTTTAAGTCAGCATGATTGGTCACGTAGGCTGCAATGATGTCATTCCAAATTATTCTGCCTCTAGCAGTTCTAGTTATTATTCGCAATTATGGTTTAAATTGTTTTGCGAATCAACAGGGAGAAGTGGGAAGGATCTGACAGCCTTGGGTAAACACGGTCTTTGTGCCATTAAACTAAGTAACAGAATGATAGAAAAAACATCTATAAAAAATCAAAAAGGTATTTATCTCTCAAAGTTACAAAGTAAACGTTTAAATGGAACATGCAATATTATGAACTAAAGCCCAAATAATAATAAATATTTCTTAACCTGTCCAATAGTAAAGAGTGTTAGAATGGATGATAATACTGATTGTACTCATAAGAATTTCTTTCAATAATTTGATGTACAATCAGTTTGATCTACATCACTGATAAAATCCAGAATATCTTTACAATGAATTAACAATAATACCCAAATAATGACTTTGTCAAAAAACTGAATGAGCACTTTGCAAATCTATAAATTATTCCTAAATAAATAATTTCATTGACGTTATCGTGTTAGAAACCTTATAAAAGACATAAATATTATCTAGTAGGCCTTAACCACGTGAATAAAAATCATTCCTTTTACATATTAGAAAGTCTCAATTGTCTCATAAAGACAATATAATAGACAATATGGTAAGCAGGTGCTTGAATAGCTCCAGTGCTGCTCTGAAACAAACAATAAATCTCAGAATCTTGTTCCTATTCAAGAAACAAATATGTCGTCGTGTCAATATCATGAGTAGTATAAAGTAAAAAGTACTAACTCTGGCTAATCGAGACTATAAACAAAAGTGACCCCTTCAAAAGCGGATCAATAAACGGGCCAGCGGAAGGAGATATTTGTACTGATCAAGGATATTTTGAAATGCTCTTTGTATTAAATATGAGTGACTGCAGAAGCATGATATAAATTAGGGATTGTAACCTCAATCGGATAAATTTTATAATCCAAGGATTGTTATTTATAAGTGTACTAACAACACCATTATCTCTATACAAGGAATAGCCGTATACTAGATGAATACCCTCAATGGATAAAGATACAAAGTTACAATAGTCACGCGTAGTGAAATTAAATCTTATTCATAATTGAGACAATGGAGGTGAACATTAACAAAGCCGCACCCTACTTATTGATTAAGAACACTTTCACTAGAAGAAGACTTTTCAAAAGGCAAAGAAATTTATACTAAAACACCCTCTTGTATATCTTAATATAATTATATGGACAGTTTTTGCATAACAACCATAAAGCGACTTAGAAGCTTTCGACATAATAAAATAAGAATGCATTGCTTAAATATAATACAGTTGCCTTGTTATATTTAATACACAATTATTTGAAATAGTTCTGTCTTTCTTCTTACCGCTCCGGTGGCCAAGTGGTTAGCGCGTCAACCTAGAATGCGGGAGGTTGTGGGTTTGATCCCCCCGCAGAGTCATACCAAAGACTTTCAAAAATGACACTATCAGTTGCATCTCTTAGCATTAAGAAATTAGTGTTATGAATGCTCAGACTGGCGTCAATATAATATATCATGCTTCATGTCTGTGGCACATTGCCCATATGCTAGACATCACTAAAAACTGCATCATTGCAGACATCGTAGCGATAGGACTGAACAATTATTAAGGCTAGGTTAAAAATCCAAATCACTCACACTCTCTTTCTTCTGTTGCTTATATTTCAGTCTGTAACAATCAGAATCAACGTGCCCTTTCTTTTTTCAATAAATTCACGTGGGATGCGATAAGGATTTGACCAACTCCAATAGGACTTAGATTGTGTTTTACCCAAAATATGCTGTAAGATGACGATTTATCAACAATGGTATTTGTGAGCCAAGGAATAGTATGAGAAGTACGTTAGCATTCTCGAACGTTTTAACCTTTATTTCATCGACATAGGTCTTGATATTACGGTGGATGAAATTTTTTAACCTATTAAATAATATGGGCGGCAGGAATTTGCCGTACTTTTCAATGTTTTGATTGACCACTGCCTATCACAAACTCATTCCTCTTCGCTTGCAAATTCGACATAGGATAGTCAACTGTTTGTCTACATGTCTCAGTAGTTTACGAATAAAAAACTCTGTAACTTGTATGATAATTTAATAGTTAATTAACTATTAACTATTCCAAGTATGATCGAGTGAAATCCAGGGATAGAACTTTACGTTCCGTGTAGTGTATATTAAGCATTCTATAGCACTTTCCCTTCTGTTTAGTGCATATCAGCATTCTCTGTAATTAATTCTAGGTACTTTGATTTATTTCTGAAGATACGGAACAATTGTGTAGTAAGATCAGCATTAGTTACTTGGTTGACATGCGAGTGTGTCTGCTATATCTTAATGGATATATCACTGACTTTTGGTGGTGTGTACTTTCTCCTGATGATATATGGCCTTGTACGTGTAGAAAAGATGATGGATGCTGTTTGCTCTCGAACCTACGTTATAATCTCAATAGTATACGAATTAAAAACTTTTTAACCTCAAGGATAGTATCATTTTTATATAATATTTTTTTATAATTTAATATAAACAATAATAACGGAATATAAAAAAATGATTAATTTCAATACATATTCAGTTAAAACTCATAGATTCATCAAATGTCAATTAAGTTTTTACTTTGTTTAATTATCTTGATCTCTGTAATTTCATTGGTTATTGAACTATAACTGCATACGGCGCTCTATACTATTTATATAATACAAAATATCGGAACAGCCAGAAAGTGGATTAAAGACTGTCCTGAAAGTATTTTTCGTATTGAACTTAAACCATAACGAACATATAACAAAACACTGATTTTGGTATGTATCAGTTCCAATCAAGTGTGGAATATCTTATTAATTTTACTGTTTACTGTGAAAATTCGGGATTGACTGTTTGGCACTGCTTTGCTTTCGTCTGAGTCAGTCAAAGAATAAAAACATCAGGGTTTGAAACAGTCGCTCTCAGAGACTCTGATAGTGAGGTAGGCATGTGAATTAAATGTCTCCTGTTACACTGCATCTCTCTATCTCGTCAGTTACTATTATATATGACCGAGTTATATACACCTCAGATTTAACAATGCATGAAGAAAAATGATACTCAATCCATTCTTTATTCCCTACCTGAAGTGTTTTCAGGGGCCGATGTTGATGATCAAAATTTCTCTTTTGAGTTTGCTTTTGATAGTTTTCTGAGTTCTTCAGCTTCATTAAAATCGGTTATTTTTGCTGTATAGTTTTCGGTACCATTGGCAAAGTAATTTGTAATTTTCTTCCCATGATTAGTTCAGAAGGGTTGTATCCATTAGGAAATGGTGTTGCTCGATATGTCTGAAGAGCTACGTAAGGATCGTTTGCTTTTTAAGCATTCTATTAATTGTCTGACAGCTCTTTCAAACCATTGCTCTATGGATATTGTCGACTACTTGTAGTATGCCTGAATCCGTAATTCGTCGCAAATACTTTGAGTATTGCTGATGTGTATTGCGGACCATTACATTATCTGAAACTAATACTTCAAGTACAGTGTGGTGCCCAAAGATTTATTCGATATGATTGACAATTGCTTTTGACCTGTGCCCTACAATACTGCTATAATAAATCACCAAAATATATATTTGACCATTCAGTTCAAGCAATTTTAATACGCTACTTTGCCAAGGTCGACTTGGAGAGCCATTTGGTATCATTGGTTCAGCTTGATTTGTTGAGTTATCGATGGATTTTGCCAAGACTTAACCTAGTGTTCTGAGCACTTAGTCATTTCCACCAAAATGACGTTTGGGCGCGTTCTCGACATTTACCTATACCTTGGCAAAAATCGTGAATTTTCTCTATGATTTGTTTTTTTAAGTGATTCGTGTACAACCGGTCATGTAAATTAGAAGACCATTTTGAATTGTAAATTCACCTATATCTACTCAGTACGGATTTTTCTGACCACCTCTTTTCACAGAATGTACAAGTTGTTTGCGTATCGAATCATTTCGATATCCAGACTTTATTTAATCAAGTCGAGTATCTGATCCTGGCAAATTACTTACTACAAAATAAGCATAGTCATTAGGTTCAGCCTGAAATTCTCAATCTCTCTCTCTCTCTCTCTCTCTCTCTCTCTCTCTCTCTCTCTCTCTCTCTCTCTCTCTCTCTCTCTCTCTCTCTCTCTCTCTCTCTCTCTCTCTTAGTGACAACTTAATTGTGCTCTGGATAGACCATCAGCAGGTAATAGATTTTTGCCAGCAATGTGAACTATCCAGAAGATGAATCTCATCAAAGCATTCAAGAGCGTTGAATTCTAGGGGGTGACTCTCCCAAGATTTGTGTGCTCATTAGTGGTAATAATGGTTTATGGTCAGTTTCAAGACTGAATAGTTACCCAATTAAATAGCTACTGAAGCATTCACATGCCCAAGCGATTGCAAGAGGCTCTCTTTCAACATTGAGCTGCTAAGTTTATGAAGTACCCCGCGATGCGAACACCACCGGTCTCATAGTGCTACCTTGCTTCTGCCATAGCAAAGTATCTAGTCTACATGAACATGCATTTGCAGATACAAATATGTCTCTGTTTGGATCATAATGTGCTAATGTTGTTGAAGATTTTATGTTTTGTCTGATATCTCTAAAAGCTTGTTTTTGATTTGTACCCAGAGTCCACAAGCTTTTTTCGAAAGCTCACGTAATGGTTTTGCTGTCTCTGCGAAATTTGGACTAATTCGAATGACCTTTACGCATTCCGATTTCTCCATGGCAGTTAAACCTTTGAATTTTTTCTGATTCGGTAGGCAGCCATCTTCGTCAACAACACTCCCAATAAATCAAATGGATGGTCTCGAAAATTAACAGTTTTAAGCGTTCAAAGAGACTCTGTCCTTTTGAATATATTTCATGACCATTTCTAGTCTATCACCATGCTGTTTCTGGATTTCTCCCAAAACAAGAACATCGTCCATGTGACAGTGTTCCGACATGTCGCTCCAAAGTTTCTGACATCCTTTTCTTAAAATAATTCAGGCGCTGAACTGATTCCGAATGGAAGTCGATTTATATAAAACCTACCAAAAATAGTAATAAAAGTTATAAGTAAGCGAGAATCGTCTGAAAGTTTTATCAACTTTGGAGAAAATCGTTGCACCTGCTAGTCTTGCAAGCATTTTTTAACTGATGGTAGTGGATGGTTCGTTCTTTCGGAAAGACATCCAATACCGAGCACCACTCAGTGGACTCATCTAAGACTGAAATAACACCCACTTTTACATTTAATCCATCTCCTCTTGAAATTTATTCAATAACGGCCTATGAACCTTACTTGGAGTAGAAAAATATAAGGTTTGGCATTTTTCTCCAGTTATCTTATAGAACCATTTTGTTTAAATTTGGGTGTTTCTCGCAATTATCTCCATCTAAATTTATAGATTTATCGTGGATGTTGCTTGCACTTTGTGAGGTTTATCTGAGACATTTACATATTATATATTTACCTGTTCAATAGTCTTTAGAGCCTGAATCATGGGCCTGCCCAAGAGTGCCTGATTCAGTCCATTTGCAACAAATTTATTTATATACTGAACACATTGTTTGATTCCAGTCCACATGTGAATTTCCCCAGCATATGAATTTTAGTTTTATGGTTATTACAGTTTTCTTTTGGACTTTTATATGTTTTTTATTTCCTATTTTTCGTACATTCCTCTCAGGAATTACAGTCATATCAGCTCAAATATCATTCTTGAATGAAAGCGAAGCGTTTTTCAATCTCACATGCGTTATCCACGGCTCACCCTTCTGTAAGCCAAGATTCAAAAGAAATCCAGGTTCCACTCTCGATTTTATTGTGCGATCTGCTGATTTTGACAGAAAACATTTGCATAGTGTCCCTTTTTCTTACATTTATGTCATTTTGCTTTCTTTGCTGGACTTTGGTCTCAAGAATTACAATTTTTTGCCACATCTCATCCATCCTATTTTGCTGACATTATTCTGTTGAATGATTGTGAATTTATGATTCTGCTTCTCGTGTTTCAGTAAAGATAATATTACTCTATCCATTTTAGTCAGTTTCTCTCCAATTACTAGTATAGTTGATTATTGCCTTTTTACAGCCTCATTTTGTCAAGCTTGACTAATGGCAGACTCAACAGTTTTATGTGCATCTAACTGCAATATTTCTGACAGTTTTGAACCTTTCAGTCCAACTACAAATCGATCTCTGATCATTTCATCATTTAGTGGCCAGCAATTACAATTATCTGCTAACACATATATAGCTATAACGAAACTGTTTACTGTTTCTCCCTCTTCCTGGTTTCTTTGATTAAATTTGGTCCTTTCAAAAATTAATTCCTCTTTGGAATGTATATGTCACAGGCATTTACTTCGTTTGATCTTCCTCTGTCAGAATAAACAAAGACAAAATGTCATCAACCTCACGTTCTC